CAAGCGGTCCCTCCGCAGCCCCCTCCACCCTTGCCGACCCCACCCCCTTCCCCGCCAGACCACGTGTGAGGCCGCCGGGTGCCTGGCCCGGTTCACGCCCTGTCCGTTCCCAACGTCCCCGAGACATGTGACTCCACATGGAAGTGGAAGTGACTTGTGGAGGGGGGTGGGGTCGGATAGCCCCGGAGGGCTACCGCTCTGCACCCGGCCTCCGTCGCAGGTGTGAGCGGAAAAACCAAAGCAGGCGGTAAAGGGGCCGACCGGCCGGGCCGACCGGTTTGCTTTTTAGGAAGAACATTGAGTGGCTTGCGTGGACGTCGAGCCCGCCGGCGGGGACCCCCGCACAGAGGCAAGGAGAGAAATGACAGGGCCTGAACTAAAGTAGTGGCAGGGGAACAGGGCTAATGTCCTATGTGGAACATCAGAATGCAAAACGAAAATCGCTGGGATTCCAATTCAGTGAGTGACTGCGGATGTGTATAGGAATCCCAGGACAACATGCCAGGGTGTAAAATTACTCGTTCTCTCTGTGTGACGCCATCGTGGGTGATTTTAACTTCTTTCTTCTGTCTCCCGGCAAGGTTTTGAGAGCGACCTTACGTGGCATTTTTCATCCAAAATAAGGTTTTAAAGTGACGTGAAATTTCCGATGCTGATAGGCCTGTTACTTTTCTGTTGTCCTCCTTTGTAATCACAAGGAAGGACTTGACGCTGAACTGGATCATCAAATCCTGTTGGATCTCCCCTCAAAGTAGGCCCTCAATCAGCCCACGTCCCTCCCTCTCCATTGCTAGTTCCCAGGGGCAGCCCCCGTACCTCCCCGAACCCTTTGACAGCGTTCTGACTAGTTTTCCTCTATGCCAGCTCCTCTGCAGCCTGTCCTCCACACAGCAGAATCCGTTCTGAATGTCTAGCATAAGTCATGTCACACCGTGTCCCTGCTTAAAATCCTAAGACACTTTCCCTTGGCCCTTGGAATCAGATCCAAACTCCCTGTTGTGGCTTATAGAAGCCGGGTGTGACCTGGCTCCCAGCTCCTCCACCCTCTACCCCCACCTGCCTGCTTCCTCATTCTGTGCAGCCTCTGGGGCCTTCTCTCTGCTCCTGATCAAGGGTGCCCCGCCCCCAGCCCTTTCCACTTACTTCTATTTGGAAGACTCTGTCCCCAGACTTTCCCATGGCTGTCTCCTTCTTGTCATTAGGATCTTGGCTCCAGTGTCACTTCTGAGAGGCCTTCGGGGTCACCAATCTAGCACGCTATCCCCAGGCACACTTCATCACATTTGCCCATTTCAGTTTGCTGCATTTCTAATAATCTGAAATTAAAATTTTGTTTTGTTCACGTCTACATTGTTGATGGTACCTTTTCAGTGCAGTTTATGCAATAGGTGCTGTGTTGCCTGCCAGCTGAAACAGTATTAAGTACAAGACTCAACCACTGCCTTGGGCCTAGCACTCCCACAGGCAGGCGGTTCCTTCACACATATGGAACAACCTATGCACAAAGTTACTCACTATAACATAATTCGTAATAGAAAACTGTTGGGTACAGGGCACATGCCCCACAGCAGCAGGGAGCTGGTGAAATTCATTATGGTACAGTAGTCCTAAGCAGCAGTAGAAAACCATGAAAATCTCTAGTGAAAAATGAATTGATTTCCAGGATGTGTTGTTATGTGTAAAAAAAAATCAGAATGCAAAGGACACACACAGACACACGTACTTATTGGGGGGAAAAAAAAGATTCAGGACAGACAGAGAACCTGGAAACTGATGAAAATGACACGGGTATGGGACTTCCTGTAATACATCTTTTTGTGCAGTTTTGACTTTGAACCATGTAAATGATTTATATGTTCAAAAGTATATTTGAAAGAGTGAAAAAAATCAAGTGCTTACACTGAATAAAAACAAAAGCCAATGAGCCTAACTGCATGTCCAATCGATAACAGAACCACAGAGAGAAAATAAGTCTGGTACCTTTTAAACTCAGCCCTCTGTGCTCCCTTCACGGGGTATATCCCAGGGACAGAAAGCATTGGCTTTACTCTCAGTATGTCTGTTGGTGGTGGTGACAGTGCTGAGATGACTGTGAAGCTGTCTGGGGTGCACTTTAAGGTAGACTCTCTCCGGTAGAGGAAGGGAGTAAGTACACCGACAGATCGAGCTGTGGGGAACATGGCTGTGGAATGAGGGAAGGTGACAAAGAAGTGTGAAGCTGGGTTGGAACTGGGGGTTGCAGTATGAACTCAAAAAATGTTTGCGAGTTTTGTCCAGTGAAAGAGTCTAGAAAC